GTACTTTTTGCCGAGAAGAAGTGGGATCTGCCGTCGGCAAAGGACATGAGGAGCATGTTTACATTCCGGAAAAGCCCTGATAGACAAGTGTCGGACCCACTCCTCACCTTTTCCATTGTCGGTAAACCCCAACCAAGGGTTAAAGTCGGTGAACTAATACTGGAGGTCCCCGATACTTTACATGGCTTCCAAGAGGAGTGGTTATGGGTCGGGGGAGATTGGCAGTGCCCCGACTTTGCTAACGATCTTCTTACCGATGGGACAAGCATTCCAATGGCTACTAAATCTGGTTATTGTAAGTTGTTTCCATTTTCTTTACTTCGGTTATTAATATTTTGTTTTCTGTTGTCGCTAACAGGTGGACTTTTGTGACCTTGTAGCGAAACCAACCGGGAAGAAAGAGCCGAAGTTTGAAGGTTTGCTGTACGACCGAGTGGACAAGTTATTTGAAGTACCTCAGAACAAACGACGATATCAACGGCTTGTGAAAGATTCTCGATTAGAGTTAGCTGGTTTGTCTCCCGGAATACTTGATTCTTCATTTTTACCAGGTAATTTCCTTTACGACTCGGTCTATCCCAGAATATTATTTATTTGACGATATCGGTCTAACTTTAAACTTACTGTAACAGTCTATTACCCGTTATTGGGATACTTCGGTTTCGGAGATCCTGTAGAAGCTGCAGAGCATCGGAGGCGCAATCCGAACGTGGACTTAAAAAATAAAGTCGGAAAAAACAAGAATCTCCGAACAACTGAAATGGCTGGACGTATGAATCTTCTCAAAGCATGGAAGAAAAATCCCAACCAATCTCAGGCTACTGTGGGTGAACCGTCATCGACAAGAGTAGAACCGACACCGGCGATCGTGAATGAGCCGACAGCTACCGACGTCCCGCCACTTGAGGTGGAACCACTGCAGCAAATAATGACGCCGGTCGGTGAGTCTGTGGTTGAGGTGGAGATCCCTCGAGAAGCGCAAGAAGAGCCCGACGAGCCAGTGGTTCATCGTCGCAAAAGATCCAGTGTATCTCATGTGGCGGAGAGGATGAAGAAGAGACAAGACGTCGGCGCTGGCAAGGACAAGGAGGAAGAACCCGAAATCATTTTGAGGGATTCCTTCCTCAAGATAAATGAGAAGAAAGCGGCTGAGTTGACAATGCTTGAAGGCGTGTTTGATCCCTGGTTCCCGATGTTCCAAACGGTTGTCGAGCCAAAAATTACGAATAACCAGCGGTTCCCCGAGGAAGCGGTTAAAGCGGCAAGGGTTCCACTGATGTCGTGGGACCCAAAGACTCATGCGGGGATCGCATCGCTGCCAGATGACCAGAAGTTCAGTTACGCCCGGGGTTGTTTGGGCCGGGCTCTTGTCAGCTTCATAGCGGCCGAAGACAATTACCGAAGCAGAGTTCACGAACTCGATGAGAAACAACACGAGCTGAGTTTGAAGGAGGGCGCCATAGCTTCTCTGGAGTATGAAAAGTCTCGCTACGAGGCGACTTTGTCAAAGAAGGATGCTGAGCTGCAGGCGACTCTGACCGAGGTGAACGCCCTCAAAACCGAGAAAGAGAACTTGCTATTAGCCCATGATCTTACGTCGGTTGAGTTGGCCAAGGTTGTTGAGGTGGCCAAGGAAAAGGACGAGCAGCTGAAGGTATTGAAGGCGGAGCTCCAGGCTGTACGGAAGGATCGATCTGATAAAGATACTGAGCTGATCCGCAGTCGCGAATCTCACGAAGTGGCCATGACCAAACTCCGTCAAGAGATGGCTGCTGCCGCTGAGCTTAAATTTCAGGAAGGTATCGAAGTCGGCAAGAAATCAGTAGCCGAACCCAACGACGCAGCTGATGTCGGCGCGGTAACCGAATGGGAGTTGGAGCTGAACGCTGCCCTGGCTTTACGGTGGGCCATAGAGAGGATTGATAGCGGCGTATACACCATGGATGAACTGCGCGTTTATCTCCTTCACAAAATGGAGAAGCATGGCTTCAATCCCGAAATGAAGAATGCCCATATCCCGGCCGATCAGGACGAGAGAGATTTCGCCGACCGACTTCTAAAGCAGAAAGAAAGTCGGATGCTGGAGCTAGACATGGTCCCCCTGTCGGAAGAGCGAAAGGCAAAAATCAGGCGGTCATTTGTTGACATGGTCCTTGAAGTGGAGAAGGCCAAGAAGCCTGAAATGGCCAACATATGCGTGGAGACAATTGCTGAGGCCTTCGTCACTGAAACATTTGAGGGCCTATCGGATGAGGAGCTTTTAAGCGCGATTGTCGGTTATGCTGCGCGCAAGGTGGCAGAGGATGATGCCAAAGCTAAAGGATGGGTGATCGACCCAGTCCCTTCTGACGATGATCGTGTCTTGCATGAAGATGGCGACGTCGTTGTAATCAAAGAGAGCGACGTCGTCCGAGCACTGGAGGAGAAGGAAGAGGATGTCGTTCAGCGCCTGTGCCAAAGATTGATTGAACATTTGGATGCTGCTGAGAAGGGCAAGGCTGAGGCTGAGGATTCCCGACTTCCCAATATAGGAGGGGCATCATCGTCAGGGACTAAAGAAAGTTAATGTTTTGCTTTGTTTATTTTTCTTGGAATGTATTGACAATGTTTTGATTTTGAAATGAAGTATTGATGTCTAATGAATGGAATGTTTTTTTTTTTTTATGAATGCTTTATTGTGACTTATTATTATAACAAGTCAAAGTATATCGGAAAGAATGAATAAGTGGACATCAGATCAAAGTTTCCGACATTATATTATCGTAATAATTTGTACGAACTATTGACATCGGTATAATTTTATGGCATTACCGACATCGAGTTTTCGATTAAATTTCTGGTTGTCGGCATAATTTATAGCTTACCCGACATCCGCAAACTTTATCAGAACAAGTCACAAAAGACTTGCTTTTTATTGTAAACATTTATTGCGAGCTCATCAAATCGACGTCGGGATTTGATATAATAGAGCATAAGCCTCCCCAAACCATCTTCAGGGCTTGGAAGTATCCGGCTTTGCTGCGTTTGGCTAGGTCATACCATCTTCAGGGTATGAAACACGTTTAGCCTTAGCAACGAGGACCGATTTATTGTGGCCCGAGTGACCGAACAAATTATATGGGCTCGTCACACAAACTTTATTGATAGCAAAACATGGTTCTTGTACAGGAGTAGGACAAAAACTTTTTTTTTTTTTACATGTCGAGGACAGAACCTTGGGCACCAGGTTTATTGATAGTATCTTTTCAAATGCGTCGTGTGCCAGGGATATTGAAGGGAACACCGTCTAATGTCTCAAGTCGGTAAGTGCCATTAGAGATTAGACGATTTACTTTGAAGGGTCCTTCCCACCTTGGCTGTAATGGGCCGACATTAGCGCCGGTGACTCTTTTTAAGACAAGATCTCCTTTGACAAACGAGCGCGGCTTGAGCTTTGAGTTTATATATTTTTCGCTTCGTTGTTTATAAGTGGCATTGCGAACCTCGGCGTCAGCCCGTAATTCATCGACTAAATCGAAACTAACTCTCAAATTTGTTGGGTTGGTTTCTTCGTTGAAGTGAGTGATCCGATATGTCGGAGAGGCAAGTTCAACTGGTATCACAGCTTCAGTTCCGTAAGCTAACGAGAATGGAGTTTCTCCAGTTGAGTTTCTCGTTGTCGTTCGATAAGACCAGAGGACATAAGGCAGTTCATCAGGCCATGATCCCTTCGCAGCTTCAAGTCGAGTTTTCAGGCCATTCTTGATAATCTTGTTTACGGCTTCTATCTGTCCATTAGCTTGTGGATGATAAGGTGACGAGAAGAAATGCTTGATGCCGTAATCTTCACAGAAACTTTCAAATCGTTTGCCTTCAAACTGACGACCGTTGTCGGTTATAATAGAGTTCGGAATTCCTAACCAACAAACGATTGATTTCCATACAAAGTCAACCATTTTCTGTTCTGTGATGGTTACAAGGGGCTCAGCTTCAACCCACTTGGTAAAGTAGTCAGCAGCTAGAACTGCAAATCGAACTCCTCCTTTTGCTGTTGGAAGTGGGTCGATTAAATCAATTCCCCACTTTGCGAACGGCCATGGACTATATATTGATTTGAGGAGTTCAGGATGTTGGTTAACGTTAGGGGCAAATATCTGGCATTTGTGGCACCGTCGTACCCAATCCGCAACATCTTTCCGAAGAGTAGGCCAGTAGTAGCCTTGCCGGAGAATTTTATGAGACAACGTTTGAGCTCCTTGGTGAGTGCCGCAGATTCCTTCATGTACTTCTTGCAAGATTCGTTGAGCGTCTTTTTCCGACAAACATTTAAGCAACGGGGTAGAATACCCACGTTTATATAGCGTCCCTTGGTCAATGGTATAATGAGCAGCACGAACACGAAGGGTGCGAGCTTCTTTTGGGTCTTCAGGTAAGGCCCCGGTCTGAAGGTAATCGATGATCGGGTCCATCCATGTTGAATTTGGAGTCAATGAGGCGGTGTCAACCATAACGACGTCGGTAGAGACTGTGGATGAGGTCGCCTGTTGGGTAATTTGCACAAATTCAACATTATTCAAGTCGGTTGATGAGGCTAGCCGCGAAAGAGCATCTGCTTGGATGTTGGATGACCGAGGTATATGCTCCAGTGTCATTTTAAATCGTGCCAGCTTCTTTTTAACAAGATCAAAATAAGGCAACAGCCGCGGTTCCTTAACTTCGTAAGTGCCGTTGATATGGCTGACTAGCAGCTGGGAGTCGGAGAATATCCGGAGAGAGGAAACATTCATGGATTCAGCAAAGTGTAAACCTGACAAAAGGGCTTCGTACTCGGCTTCATTGTTAGTGGCCTGGAAGGTAAATGCCACGGAATAACAAAACACTTGCTGGTCAGGACTAACCAGGACAATCCCTCCTCCGGCTCGTATAGCAGTGGATGATCCGTCAATGTAGAGAGCCCATGTCGGATCTTCAATGGATGAGTCAACAGCGGGAGTAAATTCAGCAATGAAATCGGACAGTACTTGGGCTTTGATAGCGGTTCGTGGCCGATACTGGATATCAAACTGTCCCAACTCAATTGCCCATTTAATCATTCTTCCCGACGTGTCAGGTCGGTGAAGGACTTGTCGGAGAGGATATGTCGTGAACACAACAATTGAATGCTCCAAAAAGTATGGGCGCAACTTTCGTGCAGCAATGATCAGGGCATAGGCCAGCTTTTCTGTATGCGGATATCGTAATTCAGCGTCGTGTAAGGCCTTGCTAACATAATATACCGGAAACTGTTGAAGTCCGTCTTGTCGTATAAGAACAGCACTGACAGCAGCGTTACTTACACCAAGATATAAATAGAGAGATTCATCAGGAAGTGGCTTTTGTAATGTCGGTAACTGCAGGAGAACTTGTTTAATATTGTCAAAAGCATTCTGGCATTCCATGGTCCATTCAAACGGTTTCTTCTTTTTGATAGCGTCAAAGAATGGTTTACAATGATCCGTAGATTTCGAAATGAACCGATTAAGAGCTGTCAGCCGACCAGTTAAGGCTTGGACGCCTTTGAGAGATGTCGGGGGAGCTAGGTCAAGTATGGCTTGGATCTTGGCGGGATTGGCTTCGATCCCTCTTTGGCTCACCAGGTATCCTAGAAACTTCCCTGATCCAACTCCGAAAGTACATTTTTTGGGGTTAAGCACCATGGAATATTCTCGGAGTATATCGAAGACTTCGGAGAGATGGGCAATATGGTCGGGGGCCTGTTCCGACTTTACTAACATGTCGTCTACATAAACTTCCATTGTATGGCCAATTAAACGAGCAAACATCTTATTGACCAATCTCTGATACGTGGCCCCTGCATTCTTCAATCCAAAAGTCATCATGACATAGCAATAAAGGCCTCGAGCTGAATAGAACGAGGTATGCTCAGCGTCATCAGGGTGCATGGGAATCTGATTATAGCCTGAATAGGCATCCAGAAAACTCATAAGTTGGTGTCCCGACGTAGCGTCCGCCATATAATCAATGTGCGGAATAGGGTAGCTATCTTTCGGGCACGCTTGGTTCAAGTCTGAGAAATCTATACAAAGACGCCAAAGACCGGTGGCTTTCTTAACTAAAACAGGATTCGATATCCATGTCGGATACTTGGCTTCCTTGATAAATTTATTGTCTATGAGCTTATTTACTTCCTCTTCAAGAGCCTTCTGGCGATCCGGACCAAATTTCCGACGTTTCTGAATAACCGGTTTGACAGTCTTATCCAAATTGAGACGATGGCATGCCTTCTGTGGGTCGATCCCTTTCATGTCTTCATGTTTCCATGCAAATACATCAGTGTTTGACTGGAGGAATTGAATCAAATTTGACCGAAGGGGTTCCTGCAGGTTGACCCCAATACGCAACGATTTTTGTTGTTCTTACTCGTCCACGTAAATGATCTCAATATCTTCAACAGGTTCCGCTCGGATATGATAACTTCCATCTTTGAACTGCATCCTTGGGTCTATATCCTCATGTATTTCTATGTCTTTTTCATGAGAAGATTGTTCTTGATCGAGGATTTCTGTTGATGTTTCAGGCAAGACCGACGTCATGGGGATGTCGGTATTAGCAGGTGGCAAGTTGATCTCTACTTGAGGCATGTCGGTATCCGAGGTGAACTGATCAGTAATTTGTTCAACACAAGGAATTGAATCACTTGGCTCAACAAAGCTATTAACATCTTGTCCTTCAATCATATGAAAGTTAGGCGAGGTTGAGAGCAGCATCAGACTTCGGGCTTCTCGTTGATCTCCGTAATGAGTGCCTTCCCCTTCAATGGTGGGAAACTTCAAAGCATAATGAAAAATTGACACGGCGGCACGGAGTTTATAAAGTGCGGTTCGCCCAATTACAGCATTATATTCATTTTGGACATCCAAGACTTTGAAAGTTTCCGTAATAATCTTGGACCTCGGTCCAAAGCCTCCAAATCGAATGGGGAGCAATATTTCGCCAACAGGGCAAGAAATGCTTCCATTGAAACCCTGAATCTGATCGTTACACGGTCTAATATCGGCTGGGTCCAAACCCAATTTCTTGAAAGTTCGAAGCATTAAGATACTTGAATACGCTCCTGTATCGACCAGGATTCGATGAACAGGAATTCCCCCAATCGGGGCAGTTATAATGAGAGCATCAGAATGAGGATGAGCGAACAAGTTAGCGTCTTCAATAATGAATGTAATGGGGCAATTCCGTTTATTGATAGTATCCCGAAGATCGACATTCATGACTCGGTTCTCTGCATTCTGAGCCTCCCGAGCATAAGCTTTAACTTTTCGTCGAGACATATCTGACTGTTTGTTATTGGAGTTGACCCGGGGTATACAACGTGAGAAATTTGTAGAATCATGTGTCTTAAGTTTCCGGTGGTCGTCGGCCGAAGTTCTGACATGAGTAGAAAACGTAAAAACTTCTTTATCGTTTACACGAGCTCTCTTCTGGTTAGCAGGTCGGTTATCTTCATCTTCGTCGTCTGAAAGATCCAAAAGTCTTCCTTTCCGGCGGTTATCAAAGTTTCGAAACTTTTGAAGTTGGGGTTGTCCGATTAAACGTAAGAGTGCCGACAAAAGACCGAGACACTCGTCGGTATTGTGCCCTGGAGACTTGTGGTACGCACAGTAGCGAGTTTTGTCCAATTTATCTTCAGGAGTTCTCACAGGCCTCGGGTCTGGAATGATCCCCTTTCCTTTCAGTTCTTCATATATGGTGGCCGCTCCAGCAGAATAAACAGCATGGTAACCTGTCCTGACGTTGTCCGAATATTGATCACGAGCAGCCCGGGACTCTGGGGTATTTTCATATCCTTTAGAGGAGTTCCGAAATTGTGCTTTCCCAAAGTTCTTCTTGTTCTTCTTCTTGGTATCCGATTCAACCTTGCTTTCTTTTACCGAGAAGTCGAAATTGGGGACCGACATGGATTCTTCGGCAATAATGAATTGTTGAGCTCGTACAAGAAACTCTTGAAATGTTGCAGGCTTATTTTGACATAAGGTCCAACGAAACATTGAATTGGGCCTCAATCCGGCAATAGCAGTTACTAACAAAGTTTCAGGATGACAGGGTTCCATATTTTGAATCCGGTCGTTGAAGCGAGCCACGTAATCTTTAACAGTCTCATCGTCTTTTTGTACGATGTTGGTGATTGATTCTTTGGGAATGAGACAAGTTTGGGCACCGATAAAGTGTGATCGGAAGGCTGCGCGCAACTGTTGCCATTTCCAAATTGAATGAGGTGGGAGAGTGTAATACCATTTTTGGGCTCGTGGCCCCAGTGTGAGCGAGAACATCCGACACCTCAAAGCATCTGAAGCTCCATGTAAATCCATCCAAGACGTATAATGGCCTAAGTGTGCATCTGGATCCGACGTCCCATCATACATGCCGATTTGTGGGATTTTCACCTTCACAGGGAGTAGTTCCGCAGTAAGTTCGGGGGCTAAAGAAGAATCCGCCTCGACAACAACGTTTCCCGACGTCGCGACATGTCGGGGTAAATCTTCTTGCGACTTCTGTCGCATCTCAAGTTCTGCCAGGCGTTTACGGAGAGTTTCAATTTCTTCTACACTATGCCTTGAAAGACGATTACGTTCAATCTGGCGTCGTAAATCTTCGCGAGCGTGTGGTGCTGACGAGATAGGTCTAGGACGCGGGGAAACTCTCTGGTGATGAGCAGAATGACTTTCAGCAGTCATCTCTTGCACAGGGGGCTGATCTGGGACTTGATTGTTCGTTGTTGGATTAACAATTACATGAGGCTGTTCTTCTTGACGTGGAGAGGTGTGATGAGGCTGCGACGTGGCATGTGACGTCGCCACATGTGGTTCGTGGTCATTTCGGGTATGAGTTGGATGTTCTGTTGGGTTAGTAGTCAACGGCATCGACAACGGAATTGTACTCGAGTTTCTAGGCATGGCTCGAGCTATTAATGAAGACAAACCTTGAATAAACTCCGGATTTTGAAGAAAGTTCGTGACGTTCGTGACCGGAGGTGGTGGTGTTGTACGCCGTGGGGAATGATTAGTTGATTGACTCTGGCCAGGATGAGTTGCGTGGTCTCGACCAGATTGTGACATAATGACTTTGAAGTGTGAGAATGGCTTTAAGGTGGAAATTCACACAACGGAGGTTCAGGCCCCCGCCCTTCCTCTAGCGCCAAACTGTTGTCAAATAGAATTTAACAACAACCAATTCGACGTAAATCTTAAGTAAAACTGGATATTGAACGATAAGAACTTGCGAATTATATCAGGAAAATGAGTGTTCTCTGTAAAGTTTTTATTCTTGTCTGTTGTTTTTTGGAGAATTTTTAATCTTTCTCCTTTTATATTTACGTACAATAATTATCCGTATAGTAATGATTACACTTTGAAAGGTCAAAGGCGGCTCTTTAGTTACTTTTCTTGATAACTCGCCACTTGGACAAACATAATGATGATTTATGCTGAGTTGTCGCCGCCTTGCCATGCTGATGTGGCGTGTTATAGATATCGGTTCGTCCAGTTAAAACCGATATGTCGTGACCGACATGTGTGGACCGAGATATGTTGTCCGACGCGTATTGACCGACATGTATTGACCGACATGTATTGACCGACATGTATTGACCGACATGCGACATCGGTCAAACAATAAAGACGTCGGTTCTTGTTGAAACTTCCCTCGTGTGGCCATTCTGAAGTCAGTGGAAGCGCCACGTACTTGTAGGAATCTTGATTATCTTTATACTGGTTCTAATCGGCGGATTAGCGTCACTTAACTTGGCTTACTGAAAATGATATCAACAGGTGATAACTGCGGAGGTCGCAGGCTTCGATGTGAAGAGGGTGTTCATTGATACCGGGAGTTCGGTAGATGTCATGTTTTATGATTGTTTCATGCAGATTAACAAGGAGCTGAACATGGAACTAAAGCCGGTAGCCACGGCGCTTTATGGCTTTAATGGAGGAGAAGTTATGCCGATGGGGGAGGTAAGTTTGCCTGTGGCGCTAGGGTCAGGAGAGCGGAGGAAGGTACGCATGGTGAGATTTGTGGTCGTAGGGGCTGAGTCATCCTATAAAGTCATCATGGGGCGGACGAGCTTGAATGCATTCCAGGCGGTCGTATCCACATACCACATGACGATCAAATATCCGGTGGGCGAAAACGTAGGGGAGATTGCCGGGGATCAGC